CCTCCGCCCGAGTGGAATCACTCGAATCAATGCGCTCTCCCCCGGCGATTGCCGCCGCCTGCTGCTTCTCGCTATGCAAGGCAAGAGGGATGGAGGGAGGTTATTATAGGGATCAGCGCAGCACGGCGGCGCCCATAGTAGTGGTCATGATTGGATGCACAATGCAGTTTGCCGGATTGCAATCGGCCCAAGCAGTTTGGAGTTTAGGATCGCAGCGCCCGTCGCCCCCGGCGTCTCGCCATCGAGCTAGGCTCAGCTGGCAGCCACGAGGGGAAAATGATTGTTAAACTTGTTGTCAGCTGCATTACGGATTACCCAGATTACCTCTGGAGTATCTTCCGGATTACGTTCCCTTTTCTCAAGGACTATCCCGGATTATACTAAAATTTCAACGGATTACCCTAAAATTTCCCCGGATTAACCCTGATTTTTTCGAATTTTCTCGGATTACACCTGCCGGATTACCTAACGGCTGTCAGCCGGATTACCTTAGTCGTTTCCCCCTCGGGCAGCCCCTACTACTTGATTTGATTAGTGGGTCTACTCTACCGTAGCATCTAGCTAATTATTAGCAAAGAGCTAAACATTAGTCATATCAGCTGTCTAGAAAATAAAGCAACCAGTTGTAAAAGCCGACATGTTAGCCCTCTTAGCTAAGATTTAGCTAAGCGAGGTAATATTTTAATCCAAGGCCATATTAGAGAACGTATCTATGTATCACCTAATTTAGCTAATTTTTTCCCGTGTTCCTCGTTTGCTGGACTTCCCCCCTTCCCTTTCACCTACCCGGTCCGGTGGTTTGGTGGTGGTGCTCCCCGATCTCTCGAGAACTCTGTGAACTCGTTTCGATATCTCGAAGCCCGCGGGAGCTCGAATACATAACAATATCCGCTGCTACCGCTGCTGAGTGCCTGTGCGCTTGTGTCCACAAACAGCCCCCTTCGCTCATGATGTTGTTGTTGCTTTTATTGGCATGGTAACGGAGCGCAGACATATTTTTCCGGGCTAAAATGCCCCACTCCAGCGGCGTGGTGGGGATGCCTGTACGTACACTAGGTAAACAAGTGATCAGTTTTGCACGCCATGTGATAAAAAAAGTTCAAGAGTACAAAAGTTCCCACATTGTGGCGTCTGACTAGATTTGTTTGAACTTTACGTTTGCGACTGCACTGAAACGCTTCAATAATTGTGTGCAACAACTTACACTCTGTACTGCACACTTTTCAACTATAAAAACGATTGAATCTTTGGAATCGAATTATTCAAAGCACTATCGTGCGAGAGGCGGGGGGGGGGGGGGGGGTTGAAAATTTTTTTTTTTTATGTTTTCCACGTCATTTTTTTAAAATTTTATTGTTTCCACTTCAGAGTTATTTGCATTGAAAATGCGCAAGTTTCCAACTGCTGGCACTTCGCTTGCGGACTGACCTCGCCTCGCGGTTGGGATAGGGGGAGGGGGGATTGCTCCGACTGCTCCCCAGCTGAAGAGGATCAACCGCGCTTCCTCTGGAAATAGAAAAGGAGGACGTGAAAGTAGATTGGAAATGAAAATACAGGGTCTATAAATTGAAAGAATGAGAATTGTTTGTAACGTTTGCAAAGCAGCATTTATTTCGTAAACATTTTAGTGCAGACAGTTTTTCGGTGATAGTTTGACTGTGCAAAATAATTCCCGAATGCGCTTAAATCTAGTATACTACTCTTTTGCGATAGTCCCCCTTTTCATCAAAATAATTTAGCATTTGCCCAAATATCATGTATCGCTTGTCATTAATTAAAACTCCTGGGCCTTTAATATTGTGGGGCAACCTTGGGAAATGTGATTGCGTTTGTAACGCAGCGTGAAGTGGGTGTTGGAGAGAGAGAGAGAAAGAGAGGGAGAGATTAGATAATTCTTCCCGCGCTATCGTTGCCTGGGGTCGCGGCTGGCCGCCGGGACAGTCGTGGTACCTTCAGTACTGTCACGGTGACAGCGCGCTCTGCGGCCGTGCGAGGTGAAACCTGTCGAGGTTCCGTAACAACAACCTTCTGCAAGGCGTTCTGGAGAGCCGTGTCTGTTGTAGATCTGTGGCGTGTATAACTTGGCGATAAGGAAAACCGCTTACCGTGCGCTCCGTAAACTGATTCGTGCCTGCGCTGTAGTTGAGTACAGTCAAGTCCGGTTCCATTGATGCCTGTTGGGTGTGAGGGAAACGACGCACTTATTGCTTCTGCAGCTGGTTCGTATACCGACCGGCAGCTGGATATGACGGTGTCCAAGCGCGCCCAGGCGAGGTACGGATGCCCGCTGACCAGCAGTAAGTGAGAGAGCTTGTATCCAGATGCTGTACTGTAGTGAGTCAAGATGAGAACACTTTGAACCTATTAGTCAAAGGTGTAAAACTTTAGCGTAGTTTGTTCCCTCCTCATCCATACATTCATGTGGTCACATCATGTGGTATACCTTCTAAATGAACCCCTTTGAAAATAGTCAACAGATATCAATATTTCGGACCTGACCTACCACCATCCTCTGGTTACCTCAGGGACAGTTGTTACAAAAACAACTATCATGCGGCTAACCATATGTTTTTGGTTCTCACGACCATTTTCACGTTTCCTCAACATCAGTATCACTTTACGGCCGTCCCTGAATTGACAATACGATGGTGGCTACAGCTTTCCATTCATCTGGGTGTGCAGCGGGTGTTAAAGGGGTTTCCCCTTGGCGCTTTATCCCGGCCGCTCGTAAATTGGGGCGGTCTGCCTGCAGCTGGGCGGCCTCTCGAACCAAAACGCTCAAGCAACAGTTTGCAACAAGGCGGCAGTTTTAAAATTGTATTCCCACACCTGTCATACCATTCGTATATTTACAGTTTGCTTCTGGTACCAGAGAACTCTGTGCCTCGTTCACAGTAAAAAATATTGTACCAAAGTGCAACAAATGGATGGAAGATTTGTGGGGGTGAGGTACACGCTCTTTGTATTTTGTTTTATGGAATGCCCATAGGACTTTATTTTAAAGGGAAATTGTACCTGAAAATGTTGTACCTTACTCAGTCTCAGTATAATGCGATGATAGGCACAAGGATTTGACCAGTGCGTGCTGTGTTTTTATTTTTTTTCTGACAGCGTTATTTGAATCCTATGGAACCCCACCCGCACCCGCCCCATCTCCCCCTCTTGTTCTATCTCCGTCTGTTGTTCTCCCCGTCTGTTGTTCTCTCCGTCTGTTGTTCTCTCCATCTGTTGTTCTCCGGATTAATCAGCGAATGGAATGTGGCAAACAGCGAAGGACTGTGGCGCCCGTGTGTCCGTCTGTATGAGCCGTCCGTGTGGTCAAGGAGCGGCGAGCTTGATTGCTTGCACCGGATAGTGGACGGGAGAGGGAGAGAGGAACAAGCTCAATCCAGTAGGCCCTCTCCGCTCATCCTCTCCCTCTCCCTCTCTCTCTCCCTCCCCCTCCCTTTCTCTCTCTCCCCCTCCCTCTCTCTTTCTTTCTCGCGTGCGTTTAAGGGTCTTTAAGGGTCTTTCGCCCCTTGCATCTTGCACCACTACTCGCCGTCGGACTCAACGGGGTGTTCACTCCTAACGCCGCGATCGGCTGATCTGCTTGGATTTTTTTTTTAGCATTCCCTGTTGAGTGCCAACTCTTTACCTCTTTAAACGCCAAGTGTCAATGTCGGTAACACATTATATCTCGCTATTGTTCCAGAGCGGTGTCCGAGTCGCTCAAGTATGCGGCGGAGCAGTACCGGAACCAGCCGGGACGCATCGAGAACTACGAGCCGGGCAAGTCCTCCATCGCGGAGAAGGAAGCCAAGCAGGTGAGGAAGACGTGTAGATAACCTCACTTTGGTTTCCACTACCATGAGGTTCGAAGCCCTGGAAAGTTTACGGAAAATTAGTGGGAAATCGTGAAATTTCCCGGACTTTGAAAGTTTTCCGTTATTTTCCGAAAATTTTCGAGAATTTCTTGGAAATTTTCAACTCTACACTACTATGGTGTGATCGGTGGATTGTTGTACGTTGTGTTGTCACCGTCGTTGTATGCTGTTTCGTGATTTTGTTTTGTCGTTGTCAGTTGCCTTTTCTATTCTACCTCTTAAAACAATGTAATACTATCCTGTCGTGGCGGTGCACCGTCAAGCTTTTTTATTCGTGTTACCGTCGCTATGAACGAACAGGGAGGCGCCTAAGCGTCCTGCTTTCATGTAATCACAAATGTAATCCTCTTTCATTATAACAGAGAGAGTGAGTTGGGCGGGGAGGGGGTGCGGGTGAAAAAGGGAGGGATGAGATATTGGGGGCTTGCATCTCGTTACCAGCCCCGGTCGCTGTCTCGAATTTCATCGACTGGAAATTGAGAAAGGTGTAGTAGCGTTGAGCCTACGCTAACGCGTGCCATAAACTGACTACACGGGCTTTTGAGAGTGTATTTAGCTATAAATTCTGAAAGTGGGGAGGGAGGTGCTTATTTTTTGTTTCGGCGTAGCTTTCAGTGTCGTACCTATGTCGTTTAGCAGCATGCCCAAGACCATCCAGCTCATGTCGTTCGCGTCTGCTTTTCTGTTGTAGTGGTGGGACGAGGTGCTGGACATCTTTGATGGGGTACGTCGTCTCGAAAAGTGGTGCCTGTTTTTGTTTTTTCCTTTTGTGTGACACCTCTCTCCTTTCCTAACGGTGTTTGATTGAATTCTTTATAATTCAGTTAGGGTAAGCGCTATTTCATTTATTTTTGTTTTTAAAGAAAAGTTTACAACATGTTTTGCCTAGTTTTTTGCGCTGCCAGCAAGTTAATTAGCGACCCTATGATGTTTCGTATCGATGAACAGAGAGAGAAATGACAAACATCATTAAAGTACAATTAATTCTTCGTGTTGACCGGCCGTTTGTTTACAACCCGCTGCTGTGTTGTGTGTGTGTTAGTGGCTGGACGATCAGTGGGCTGCCCCGCGCTGCCGCCGGCGACACCTCCACAGCGTAAGCGCCGTCTTTGTCCTTCTTCTCTCTCTGTCTTTACTTTTATCCCCGTCGGACACGTCAAAGGGGACGCGCTGCATCCACACCAACGCTTCAGTCTTGCCCTATCTACTGAGGGGTATTTGCCGTTTTATTTGATTCGCGCGAAAACCCTCGCGCCTCCTTTCTCTCTGAGCTGTTTTCGCGTGCGCTTTCGTCTTTTCCATTTTATTTCTGAAGACTTATGGCTCAGAATCGCCACTCCTCCCCTTTTAATTAAAACTATTCTTTGTTTTAGTACTAGTATTTGTGTGTTATTTTTTTCTTTTTCAATTTAAATTTGTCTATTATTTTATTTGTGTTTCAATAAATTCTACTCTACCGCGCGCACGATACGATGAACCATGTGCGCGCGGCTTGCTCGAGATGGGGACCGGCTCAGTGGTGCACACCGACCGCCACTCACTCTGCCGACCAGATAGCGGCCTGCACGCTGTGTCTGCCGCTCTTAACTTGCACCTGCGCACTTCCTGCTCTGCTGTACAGTTGAAGTCCTGGAAACTTTCCGTTAACATAAGGAAAGATTACTAGACCCCGGACTTTTCAGGAAACTTCGGAAATTTCCAGCCTTTGGCTCTGCATCACAGAGTGGCGATTGGCTTCTATCTGCTGCCTCTCTGGGCTCCTTTTTTTCAAAACCGATAAAGTAAACCGGCGTGACATTCATTTAAATTCAATTTTGTTTTGTTTTATTTAGTTTCACTTTTAAGACTTTTACATTGTTTGTTCATATTCAGATTACGATTAGTGCACAAGCGGCTTAGCGCTGTGCACTCGTTACTTTCTAGCTCTGTTTGACTTGGTCGGAGGCTCCCCTGCCCAGTGGGCGTACGACCTCTCGAACTCGAACCGAGTCGAGACACTGTACCGCGCGCGGTTTCTTGGAATTGCAGAGACGAGCCTTGCCGTCCTAGAGTCCTGCTGCTCCTCTACGTCTTACCTGTCTTTCTTCTTTCTATCTATCTTTGTTTCCGCAATGCGCTCTGATTATCCAACAACAGTAGAACTGTCTCACTGTTACGAAGCGTGAAAACAACGAGTCCCACTGTATGTGAACTCGTCACTGTAGGGCAAGTCCCATCAGTGAAACATCTCAAACATCATGTTCCACTACTGCATGTGGGCTATGTGGGCGGGTAGTGTTCTACAGTTGGATTCTCAGGGTGGCGACATGCGCGTTTCTGTCAATATATCTCTATTTGTGAATGTGTGTGTGTGTGTGTGCATGCATGCACGCCGTGGGGCTGTGTGCCAATGCCAGTGTTATGGAGCTCTGAATGCGTATGTTTGTATCGCTTTGCTCAGTCAAATGAAACCGCGTAAAGCGGATGCACCAGAGTCTAATGGTCTTTCGCGCGTTTATTGCAGTTTTATATACAGTAAAATGATGAGTAACTACACTGGAACAACAACGGAAGGGTTTTAATGCCTTCACAAAGGCATTAAAAATTAGCACCCCTTCAGAGGCATTAAAACTGCCTGAAGGTGTTAAAATTTAATGCCTTTGCACTGGAAAAACAAAGGCACACTGGAAACGCAAGTGTGCGAATGTCGCACACTTGCAGGTGTGTGAATATTCATTCGTACACATAGGGGGGTAAACGTGTGAATTTCTTCGGAAAAATGCACACGTTTACCCCTGTTAGTGTACGAATGGACTTTCACACACCTGCAAGTGTGCGACATTCACACACTTGCGTTTCCAGTGCACTGAACAACACCTTCCCTGGGGCACTAAATTCAAGGGCGCAGTTTATTGCCTTTCCTGGGGCACTAAACTTGTATGGAACTCATATGAAGCTAGCCAGCTTAAGGTGTGAAAGGTCACAAAGTGCCTTTTAAAGGTAGGGATTCGCACCTCACTGTAAAACGTAGAGTGGCCTTTCTTTCCCAAATAGAGCAACGTATAGGCTTGATCGCTCTGTAAGAGCGATTTTTGCGAAATGACTCAACATACGGCTTCTTTGTAACAGAAAATGTCGCAGAAACGACTCTAAACGAGCGACGTTTTGCGAAAATGACTCAAAGTAAGTCTTACTCGTAACCAAAAACGTCGCGAAAAATTACTCCAAACGAGTGATGTAATTAATATCGCTCTCCTAAGAGTCGTCAAATTGGATTCACAATATCGCTCTATTTGCATCGTATTTGGTCACTCCTTTACTTCTAGTGCTTTGTTTTACCAGTGTGGATACACTTTCGTACCTTCGCAAAGGATTTAAAATTTAACACCCTGGAAAGGCATTAAGTCCTACCTTTGTTTTTCCAGTGTACTTATCGCTCTACGCAGTCCCATGTTTTATTTTATTGTAATGTTTCATTCGTCGTTACAAGACGCCGATTCTATTCTTGGCTGTGCCGCTTCCATCCCATTCGCGCTTCTCCGTCTGTTACCAACACCACCCTCTCCCCCCCCCCCCCCCCCCCCCCCCTCTCTCTCTCTCTCTCTCTCTCTCTCTCTCTCTCTCTCCCCCTCTCCTTTCTTTCTCCACCCCTTGCTTCGGGTATGTAAACCATTTTGCTTTCTCTCCCACAGATGGAGAAGAGGAACAAGGAGAACCTGCAAGCATTCAAGCCTTCGTTTATGACATAGTAAGTTGAGAATTGTTGTCGCAACTGTAAAACATAGAGCTTTATTGGTAAGTATGTTGAAAACTACGAGTAAAATTTTACGATCATTTTAGAGTTTGGCCAACACCTTCAGTTCGCACTGTATTTCCTTTCCCCTATGACTGGCCTGCGTAGCATTTATTTTAACGTTTCAACGCCTGATACCATTCTAAATGAATAGACCCGCAGGCACTGACGATATCGCTAGCAAGGTTACTGAGGTTAAGACTGGAAACACAAGTGTTGAGTACGCAACGTTTCTTGACGCGTTTTCGGGAGAACACGTTTCTTAATGCGGTACGCGGTTCCCTCCATGTAAAAGGATAGGAGCGTCACAGCGAGAATGCATCAGGACACGTCACGGAACGTGTTGCGTACGCAACTCTTGTTTTTCCAGTGGCGGTATTGTGGTGTTGGTGTATATTGTTTCGGAACCAGGAAATTAAATTTTTTCCTCGATTTTTTCGCTTCGGAAAACAATCGCTGAGATGGTAAGCAACGCCACAGTACACTTCAGCAGACCCATCAATCTCCTCGGCCAGGAGCTATACCGCCTCGTCCTTCCTCTTCTTTAACTTTTGTGTGAACTACATCTCAATAACTTTCGAGATCATCTACTGGAGCTGTTTGCTCACCAAAGCCATGTTCGATAATACCCCCCCCCCCCCTACATATTTATTCAGTTTGTTTACACTACCGACTTGCAGCAGCCCTGTAGCGATTTTTCCGAAATGGTTTTTTAAAACTTTTCAAAAAAAATTAAAAAAGATGAAAATAACAAAATATTTCTGTAAACATTTGAAAAAAAAATACCTTCTTAGAAAAAATATTCTGGGACAAAGAAAAGGATTGAAAATATTTCCCAAAATATTGCACCGGGCAACTAAAATCTTTGTCTTATCCCCCTATAATGCCCTTATCTCTTTCTCAGCGCGCTGAAGGAGTCGGGCTACGAGAGCGACACGCAGCTCGTGGTGCGGCGGCGCGAGGACGGCCCCGGAGCCGAGCCGCTGTCACCGGCGCAGCAGCGCACGGCCTACAAGGAGATCCAGAAGGGCGGCGACGTGCCGCTGCACGGGCTGCGCAAGACGGCGCCCGAGAAGCCCAAAGGTGAGTGTCGCGACCAGGAAGCATTTCAGCATCCGCAGCAGCAGCATTCAGCATCCGCAGCAGCGGCATGCGACACGACCAAGAAAAGCATTCCCGGGAATGAGTGCTGCTGGCGTGCGGAATGCCTTCGTTCGTATGTGCTGCCGGTGGATGCTGCTGGTGGTGTGCGTCTTCCTCTCTTGTGCGGTGATGGTCGGGAAAGCTTCTGGTCGCTCTGGTGAAGGGATGCCCTTCAATATCCACCCCCCCCCCTCTCCCACCCCTATACTCTCTCCTTGTCTTATGGGGTATACGGGAAAATTATCCATGGAATATGTACAGTTTACAATTCAAAACTGTTGTAGATTTACAAGCACTTGCGTATCGACTTGTGGTCGACCGAAAGAGCATCAGTTGGAGAAAGCACATGCACAACAACATGTTTGTAATTGATAAATTACAAAATTTATCGTACAGGTGCGAGCATATTTTTCACAGTGTCGTCGTCGCCCATCGTCAACGTTTATTTTGTTCAGTAGAAAACTCGCTCTGTATCTCCCTCGTGTTCTCGTTCTCTCTCTCCCTCTCTCTCTCCAGCCGCCGGGCTCGACACTGCGGCAGGTAGCAGCAGCCCTGTATGTGCCGCGCATGTCTCTGAGAATAACGAAAAGCCCCGCCTTTTTGCTCGTCGCCGCTGGGCGCGTGCGTTCGCTGAGCACAGTATTACGACTTTCTGCGCCACTCAACGTCCAACATTTCCACAACCAAGGCGAAACCGCGAGAGCAGGACTTTTGTTTTCTCCCCGTCTCCATACTCCGGCAGAAAAAAATAATGTTTGGCTCAATTTCAATTGATGCACCACATTATACCACATTCAAAATGGCGCACATATTGGAAACTATATAACCCTTCTTTACCATGTGACTATGGCCTTTCCTCTTACCACCCCTTCTCTCCTCACCCACCACTTCAAGTCGCTGCACATCCCTAGTAAAATCAAGTTTTCTCCCACCTGAGAAAATCTGGGCCATTGTTTTCAAGCATGCCATCACAGATTTTTCTAAAAAATCCATGCTGCTAACATGTATTAATGATGTTTTTACATTGTTGCCATTCATTTTCCATTTTTTGCACCATCCCACCCTATACCGCAAGCTTGCTTCTCTGTCTGCACTCACTCGCTGATTCGCACCCACCAAGGAAAAACGAAAGCAACGAAAGTCGCGACAACCAAAGTTTGACTCAAATTTGGGAGCATAGTGGTCATAAATGTGACCATACCTTCCGACTTTTAGTTCTTTCCTGGACCCTCACAAACCATCTCTCTTTTTCCCCCTATCGTCTGCTTTTTCGACACCCATCAATCTGCGGTAGTTTTTTTGCCTGTAATTTAACCCTTAGTAATGCAATTTTTGTTTTATTTTAAATCATCTTTTTTTTTGTAATTTAGAGTGATCGTGATTGGGCGGCATGTGCGATAGCAGTGCAATCACCAAAGGGATTTTAAAGACCGCAACTTTCCGGAAAAGATGGAAATTTTCTCCAGAGAAATTGAAAACTGAAATATTTCCAGAATTTTCAAAAAAATTTAAAAGGAGGTATTGCCCCACAAGAAAACATCCGCGTTTTGTAAAAACATGAACTTGCAAAATTTGTTAAAAGATGTTTGCTGGAAAACTAAGATCCCTACCCTTCTGGGGGCCGGGCGATTGCACCGCGAACACCCCCAGGCGGGGGAGTGAGCGCGCGCTCATCGAGGCGCATAGCGACAGCTCGCTGTTTTCGCGCTCTTTTCCCCGTCGGGCCATCTGCTCGTCACGATCACCACTCTTTTAGTTTTGCGCTTGAGTACGCCGCCTCCTTCAAGCTCGCCCAGCCGCCGCTGC